GGGCCGGTGTGCGAGACTGGCGATTATCTCGGGCTCGACCAGGAAATGGCCGATGTCGCCGAGGGCGATCTTCTGGTGGTGATGAGCGCGGGCGCCTATGGCGCGGTGATGAGCTCGACCTACAACACCCGCCCGCTGATCGCCGAAGTGCTTGTCGATGGGGGGAAGTGGCATGTGGTGAGGCCACGGCAGACGCTGGATGAGTTGATTGGGCTGGATTCGGTGCCGGAGTGGGTGAAGGCGGGTGATTGAGGGGACGGCGCGTTTGGGGTGGAGAGCGGAATGGCAGCTCTAGGACTTTGTCACGCGAAAGCAGACGCCATCGACCCGCCTTAATCGTTACAACACCATGCAGCGAAGATGTCGCAGCAGTTTTGAGCCGCATTGAGGGAATTTGGGATAATGAGCCAAACTAAGGCCCGACCACGCATTGGCGTCTTGTTTGGGGGTCGATCAGCAGAGCATGACGTATCGATCATGTCGGCTACCAACGTACTGGCGGCCCTTGCGCCCGAAAAATACGAAGTTCTGCCTATATTCGTCACGCGGGATGGCCGCTGGCTCGCCAGCGATTTCAAGAACGGCGTGCCTGTGACGCCCGACTCTGGTGCGGAATTGTGCCTCCTTCCAGGAGGCAAGGGCCGCTTGCTGCGACTTGATCAAGACGGTTCGGTTCAGGAATTGCCACATCTCGACGCACTGTTTCCTGTTCTCCATGGCCTTTTTGGTGAAGATGGCTCTGTTCAAGGCTTGACATCAGTCGCGCGCGTTGCTCTTGTTGGGTGCGGTATCCTGGGCTCGGCTACTGCATTGGACAAGCGTGTTACAAAACAGTTGCTGTACGCAGCCGAGATTCCAGTTGCCCGTTCGCTGACCATACAAGTTGACCGTGTCCCGTCGCATAGCGAACTGGAGGCCACACTCGGATTGCCGGCTTTCGTCAAGCCCGCACGTCAAGGCTCATCGGTAGGTGTCAGCAAGGTTGAAACCGCTTCAGAGTATGAAGCCGCGGTCACCAATGGCTTTCGGCATGATGACACGCTCCTGGCCGAGGAATTCATCGACGGCAGAGAAATTGAGTGTAGCGTCTTGGAAACGATTGACGGCGACCTATTCGTATCCCGTCCAGGGGAGATTGTTACCGCAGAGCATCTCGGCTTTTATAGCTACGAAGCCAAATATATCGACTCCGAAGGGGCTATCATCGAGGTTCCCGCGCAGCTGCCCGAGAGCGTAGAACGCAACATGCGCCAATTGGCTGACAGGGCGTTTCGCGCACTGGGCTGCGACGGCATGGCTCGGGTCGACTTTTTCGTCACACCGGACTTTCGTGTCCTCGTCAATGAGGTGAACACAATTCCAGGCTTTACCGACATCAGCATGTACGCAAAGGCGATGGCAGTCAGCGGAGTGCCATACCCAGAACTACTGGACCAGCTCATTGAACACGGGTTGCGAAGAGGGATGCGTGACCGCAACGAGCCGGTGTCCGCTGAGCATCGCGTCGATGTGGTCGGCTAATGACCACAAAGGGGTCGAAACCAGAACGACGGTCTTCATGAAATATCGGGTGTCTTGAGCCTCACGCTTCCAAGGCCTACATCAGCTATCAATCGCGGAGAGGATAGCTTGCCAGTTTTGACGGCTACCCAGGACGCGAAGGATTACGACTTCGGTGTGCCCCGGCAGATAATGGGATGGCTAAGACGGAAACGATCTTTGCACTCGGGAGCCGTTATTTCCTCCGTGAACCCAGAGATGTTGCGGGTCCCCGGGTCGAGCCCGAGGACGACGAGGGGAGAGGGTGGTGCTTGTCGGGGGAGCGTTGGGGCGGGGCGGGCGATTTAAAGCGGTTCAGAATTTCATGGAATCGGGTTTGTCCTCTTCGCTTCTCCGGCGAAAGCCGGAGCCCATGGGCTCAAGCTTTGGGCATCGGCGCAAGCGGCGATGCTGCTGGCCCCCGGTTTTCACCGGGGAAGCGAAGAGTGGGGCTGTCGGCGTTTCGGTCAAAACCTGACGACTCGAGGGAGGGCGACACTATTCTGTGCTGTCTGATCGTGGGTCCGAGTCTTCAAACGCTTGCTTCTAGAGCCTTTCAGCGCTTCTTCGAA